TTTATTATATGTTTATATTCATCACTCTCAGGGTACACAAAGTCAAAATATGGCTCAGTCACTACTTAACACACATCAGTTCTTAACTTTATAAAACACAAAATCATGAGGGATTTATACAGTGGGCTTTCTACAACTCTTAGAAGAGGGTTTTTAACAACTCTTAGTGATTGTGGAAAAGAAATAAGGGTGTGAAATTAGTTCACATTGATTAAGCCAGAGGGTACATACAAATACTTAGACTAAAAATTAAGTTGAAGGAAATATTTTCAGCTGTTTATATTACTAAAACATACATAAATCCTCCATCAAGAGAGCTATAGCATTCCATAAGGACTGAAATACTGGTTTGGAGAAGTACTAAAATTCTTTAGATGCAAAAATGTTCCAATGTTTTAAGTGTGCTTCTTCTCAAAATCTATACCAGTGATTCAAAAAGTGGATACTGAAACAGGAAAAAGTGATGCTTTGAGACACCAACCAAATTCAATGGAGTCTGCCGAAAAGTATCTGCATAAGATGGAATGTCTAACTAAGAAATAAGATCCAATGGCCAAAATCCTGTTGTCTAGCTACCTCTGCATAACTCAGAGCTGTACAAGCATTTGCAAAATTTGCACCAAGGTGGAAGTTAGACTCAGTAAGTGGTTTCATGGGCAGAGGTGAGTAACTACTTGCACTATCAGTTGTGCAATAAGACACACAATGCAAACTCCCTTGGAGAAACTCCCTGTGAACTTCCAGAAGCATAACTTTACACTACCCTAAGTGCAATAGGATTACAGCCACTGATTTTCACTGTTTACCTCCATGCATAGGTGTGCAATATCTGAACAGATGTTGTCCGGTTCTTTGTATCAGTTTCCTCAATAAAGATTAATACACCTCCTATAGAAAGCAAAATGATTTTTTCTTAACCCATAAAATTCCTCCACTGAATAACATTATCATCAAGACCTATCTTCATAGTGCCAATGGATTATTTGAAGAGAACAAACTATTCCGAAACAGGAAATTTTTGCTATGTCTTTCTTCTCTAAAAGAAAGTTGAGAACATTCTTTGATCTTTCTTGTCAAATTAATTTCTATAGTCATGCAATGCCTTGAAATTTTTTTAAAAATTGAATTACATTAGCTCCTTGCTTGTGGGCTGGTTTTGGGAACTCCTTTCAGGAACAGCCATTGAAACATACTAGCTTGTTTTTGGAGGGTGCAGTGCGGGGGGAGAGACACACAAATCTTAAAGTAAAACTTGAATCCAAGTTTCAGACAAGATGCAGAGAAACATGTCACATAAACCAGTTCATGGTGGCAGATTTCTTAGAAATGAGGCAATTGCTCTGGAAGGTTACAGTGAAAGAATTCTCAAATGTAATCAGTCACACTCTCCAGTTACTATTAGCGTCTAAATAGTCTGTGTACTGCTGTAGGATATGTCTGGGAAGCCAGGGGTGGTACAGATGCATATGTACTCTGTTGGCATTTCCAGTCAGTGGTTCCACTGCTTTCCATTTTCGTATAATGGAGGAAACAAACTCCACTTTGGGATGAATATAGCCTTTATTAACTTGTGCCATATGATAATATGCTTTGATACAAGAGACTTGAGCAGTAAGATTTAAGCATTTTTTTTTAAAAAATGGGGCTTATTTTCAAGCATATAATACATATGCACTGCAGCCTACTTAGATTTTGCCAATACCCTCCCTGGAAGTTTAAATAAATTAATAAATCAGCCTCTCTATATATTTCTATTTTATTTTTTAAAATTCAAGTACCTATGAAATAGCTGGATTTCTAAACTGCCCAAATATCCAAAGAAATCTGGCTTTTTAAACAGATAGTTGTTTCTACCCTTTAAATTTCAATCAGAGCTAAACAGCAAATATAAAATTAGACATCTGTTTTGTGGGGGTTCAGTTCCTCCAAAGACTTAAAAAATGAAACTATATCAAAATTAATTTCCTAAAAATACCTCCCTTGCATTTCACTTTGGTCCTAACTAACTAAAGAATGCATCTGTTATATATTGCAGTTAGTACTAATCCTAACCTTGCAGGTCAAATTCCCCTGAGGATCACTTCATCAAGAGTGAGAAATGAAGTCTCTTTGGAAGAGGAGACAACTAAATTAACAAGGCTGGCTCTGTGTCAGCCAAAACATCATTATGGCTGATTAGCTTGGAGGAAGGGACTGAAAATAAAGGTGATGAATTTGAAAATAAAAGAAACAAAAATATGGAGAGAAGGACTGGAGGAAGGAAGATGAACATTTGGCATTTCATTACACAGTAGACAGAAGCCGCATGCATATTTTTATTAGCAGAGAAAATACTGTCATGTGTAGGGGATTCTCTGGCAGATAAATATTCCAAAGCTACAGCCAAAACAGTTTAAAGATCAGAGTGAAATATAGGGAAGGGGGAAGACAAATTATTTTAATTGCTGCAATATTTAGAGAGATAATTACATTTGCCACGGACATTGATTTCTAATTTGCAGATTTTAAAGAAGAAATAATTTGACACCTCTTTCTTCAAAAGGGGGTGAGGGGGAGAGGAGACTTCCCCATAGTCATTATGAGACCTGCTGTGTCTGGCAGTCTAGTGAAATAGCAGCTATATCAAGGGCATTGGCACACTAAGAATTAAGGAGAATGTAGCTGAGCATGGCTTGTATCCTTCACACAGGTTCTGTGTTTAAAATATCAGGCACTGTATTTGTAAAGAACGGGAGGGGTGGTGTCGGTGGAGGTATCCCTCAGCCAAACCCATCAAAACTGGGCAACTATTTAAAATATTCCAGGCCTGGTTATCTCCCCATGCTTTTGCTGGGAGTTCAGAATAGGGCATTTCTTGTGCATAATATTACAGAGTGGCAAGGAAAGAACAGAGTGTGACTTTATTTTGCTGCATACCGTGCAATGCTATCTTGACATGTCTACTCGGAAATGTTCCAGTTCAATGGGACGAACTGTCGGATATGCAGATACAGGTCTGCAGCTTTCTTACTTGAAATCATTGCTCCCACCCCACCCTTATAAAGCGTCTTTCCCATACACACGCGCCACTAAAATACTGTTTCGGAATTCCAGATTTACTTGCTTTGCAGACTCAGACACACAGGCAGAGAGAGAAAAACAGTCAACTTTGTCTGACTTGGCCTTTCGGAAGGCTAGACAGAGCTGTAATCTACTTCTCAGACCTAGTGATTACTATTTATAGCCACAAATTCTCCTTCGCTGGACATAACATTTGCATTCTCAACACACACAGACACACACAAACACAGGACTCTTTGGGGAGACATTTAATTGCTAAATGATTTTTCTCTTATTCCATGGTGGCAGGAGGTGCCTTAAAGAGCCCCCCCTTTCCAATACTTTCCCCAAATCCCCAAGCCATCTGAAACTGAAGCTTTAAGAGGCATCCTAGCAGCAGCTGACGAAACATTTTGGAGCCGGAGAGGTGCAATGAGGCCAGAAACCCCTTCTCCCTTTGAGCTGAGCTGGACTGGACCCTCTGGGTCCAGAATCCTGCTCCTCAGAACGCTCAGCTGGTTTCCCTTGGGAAACTTACAGGCAGCAGCGCATCCAAGCCCTCTTTGCCCTAATATCCCAGCAACCCAGTATTTAAGGTGGGCTGCCCCTAACCCTGGAGGCTCTCCATAGTTGAAAGGACAGACCTAGCCTGCATGAAATTTGTTTTCCTCCCAGAAAAAGCGGTGCCAAGGTGAGGAGGAAGGGTAGGAATAAGCAGGGCGGGANGGAAAGAAAGAAGTGGGGGGCACGGGGGGGGGGGGGGAAGAGACCTTGGAGGAAGATCGGATCGGAAAGGAGAGGACCCTACTTGCACCAGATTGCAGCGAGGCAATAAACGGAGGCAGCGCTCATA